TTTAAAAAGAGACATGCTTTTACAATGCGAAAACTAAATGTCATCCCCTCCCTAAAAAAAAGAAACAGTGTTTGCTGTCTGAGGGTTATTCCCTAAACTTTCATTAAAAAAATCACTGAAATACCATAAATCAAAGATTCGCCGTTATATTTTTATTCAAGTCAACAAATAAAAATGCTGATAATTGGCATTTGATTATGAATTTGAACCTCAATAAAATATCATGATTATATGTACAAGCTGTAAATCATCAGTTGATTTTTTCCATCTAAATTTCTCTACATCCTTTTCCTAAATATCATTATTGGTTTCAATTGGCAGAAAAAGCTGAATGTTTATTTAATGTGTATTTCCTCTTCAAATTTCGTGGCTTTTTTTTTTTTTTTTTTTTTTCCCTTCATGATTTTGTATTTGTGTTTTTGGCAGCTTCTGAAGCTCAGTTTACATTTATTTCAAAGTTAAACAATGAAAATCAGCCCTATATTTGCAAATTTTCACAGGACTAGTTTCGATTGCTTTTACCAAACCATTACTCTCAGCTGCCAAAGCACCATATATGACATTTGTACCGTTTTCTGTGAGAAATCTTAAGGTTGGTATCTACAAGAAATTTTGGAAGCAGCCCTGAAAATGAATCTCCAGTCATTAGATATCTTGCCAAAATTTGGCTGTACATTCTTATGCCTTGCCATGTGATTGTATATTAGCACTGGCTGCATGTTTTTGTACCTCAGCATGTTATTGTATATTAGCACTGTGTTGTATTTTTGCTGTCGCTATGTGTTATTTTATTCATTTTTGAATTCACATTGTTTATTTAAAAATATATTCATTGCATTTTTTTCTAAATATGACACTAACAGAAGATTTTAATTTACGAAGTAACGAGGTGGAGGCCATATCAGGGTTTGTACAGTCTTTAAGAGTCCTTAAAAGTCCTTAGGTTTTTTTGGAATAAATTTTTGGTCTTTAAAAGTCCTTAATTTAGGCAAAAATCAGTAGAAGGTCCTTAATTTTATTTATCTGAAATTTCTGTCTGTTTTTACTACTGCCATTTTGAGTGTGAATTAGTATTTCCGAGAAATAGTTTTGCTGATTCACTGACATATATGGTTACCTTTTGAATGAGTGAATGGTTTCATGGGTTATATATAATTTGTTCCTATTTCTAATATAAATGGTGGGATATTCTAGTTTCTTAGCAAGAAGTGAAACGTAAGCATTTCAAAATTAATTTTTTCTAATGGAGAGCTCGTAAACAAATTTTCGCTTTTGGTGATGTAAATTCTTTTATTTAACGGTTCTAAATTTGGCAACGTATCAACATTTTGTCAATTTTAAGATCAGTTTTTATTAGAAAACTTTAAATTTCGAGATCAGGTAATTTTTCGAAAATTTTTTAAAAAACATTTTTACATCGATAAATTTTATTAAAATAATTGTAATGTATCGAAATTATATTTTAAAAATAGCATTAAAATAAAACATTTTTATGTTTCGTTGCCATATTATAAAGTTTCATTTTGCCAACTTATTATTGTACAATATTTTGAATCTGAAAAATAAACAAGGTATAATGCTATCAAGCACGTTTTACAAAACAATTCTTAGCAAAATCAAAATTACCTATGTAATTGATTAAAAATATTTTTTAATTTTTTCGGTACTTACGTATTATCGCAACCAGGTGGCGCTATTTGTAAGTTTGAGTAAAAAAGTATGAATAGAAAGAAAATGTACATTTATTAATTACAGATAATTTTTAATACAGTTTTTTATATTATTTTGTTTTAAAATATAAAATAGCAATTAAACCCTTCCGGTTTCGAATTTGAATAAGTTGCAGAATTATTTTTTCGGCGGAAATCTTTTGTGTATTGCTTTTAGCACTGATTGAAAACCATATTCGCCATAACCATGTACACGTCGACTTATTTTTACTTAAAAAAACATCCCAGAATTGCACAATAAATGGCATTGCGCACACTCTTGACTTTATCCATGTACACTGCTATTTTCTCATAAATTACAAAAATTTGCACGAAAATGCAGGAAAATTTTGTGAATCTCCACATGCTGTTTTTACAAAACTACGTATAACACGTGGGGTTTTCGTAAGTAGGCTCGCCAAATTTGGCAATTTATGCGAATTTTGGCCTGGTAAGTACCATTTTTTCATAGGAAGAGTTTTCCCCATGTCTCGCAATATGCATCAGTTTTCTCTATAAAATTAATTTTACGCTTGCCTACCCACCTTTCTTTCTTTTTTTTTTTTTTTTTCAAAATACTTCTGGCTTTTTGCTATTAAAGAATTGGTAGGGATAATTTTAGATTTTATGTAAGGATTTTAGACACTGCAGATTGGAAAGGTTAGAAGGATTTGAAGGCAAGGTTTATAGACCCTTAATTCTAGAAGATTCCAGAAATATGTGACCAAATGAAAAATGTCTCCATGGTATTAATACATTTCTGGGTATTTTACAGAAAGTTTGCGATGAATTTCTTACTTTGAGAACGTCTCAAAGAACAATGAAAACATAATATTTGAATGTTTTACTTCTGATACTAGAATCATTTTCTTAACATGTTTATCTTCCCTTTATTTTCATTACTTTTCACTAGACACAAGCATGGAAAATATCAAAAATGCTTTTAATCTTATCACATGGACAGGTGTTATAGAAGGGAATTTTTTTATTAATAAAGAAATTGAAAACTGACAATTTAAAAGATTCATCTAAATATGCCTTAATGTATCATACACAGAGCTGGACTAGGCATTTTTCCACCTGATGCAATCTCTGTGGATCCTAAATTCTGCTTCCAATGCGTGCTCTAAATTCTAAAATTTATGACATTACTGGATTTTGTTGCTCAGTGTGTCACAAAATTCTAAAACTTTTGCCACACTAGTTCTATAACCAGTCCGTACCATATATGTTTCATATTTCTTATGAATGTTAATATTACTAAAGAAATAAAATTAGCAACTTTTTCTATGCATTTATTTATTTATTATTATTATTATTTTTTTTTTTTTACAATACTAGAAATCTTTAATTAAATCCAAAAATTCTAAAATGAAAAGGAAATATGTCGAAGAAAGAAACTGAATACATAAGAAAATTCTTCTAAGATATGTACAGTTATTATTATGTAAATTACCCAGTTGTTTATGATTTTAGCCTTTACTATAATTTCCCATTTCTATTTCCTCATATGATTACTGAGCCAGCTTAAATTAAAATTAAATTGTATAGTCTTTGACTGCTTGCCCACATTTTTAGTTTCAATACGACTGTTCTTGATTAATTACATCACCACAAGTTGTAATTGATTTTGTTATCATGAGAACATGCCTTAATGTTCTAAGTTCTTTTTTAAATAAAGAGGTTTATTTAACCTTTGTCTGACATTGTAGTTACTTTCAGACATAGCGATAATTTGCCTCAAGTCTGCCAGGAGGTTTTGGACTATTTAACTTTTACCAGATCAAGTAAACCCTCATAGCTGCATTGTGGAGAGGTTGACAGGTTAGGAGATAAAGCATGCAGAGACTAGTGAGAACATTGACTTGCGTATTGCGACAAATTTCTGGTTGTTAGAAAAGATGGTTAACCTTCCAGCACGCGTGCTTGGCAATTTTACATGAGCACGCGCGCGTCGTAATTTTTACGACATCCGTTATTTTACCATTTTTGGCACGAAAAATGACAGATATGAGTGAATATTGATAATAAATTTGTTAAGAAATAAAATATTAATCTTATTATTGCAAAATACAAATGATATCACATTCAAATATAAGTAAATTATTTTTAAGTTCTTACGTTAGTGAAATGGAAATGCAATGATGTATTTCATTATAGAAAATTAAAAATTTATTGTTTAATAATTATAATTTTAAAATCGAAGCTAATTTTAATATTCATCAAAGACAAGTGTAGACAATAAAAAAGGAAAACACATTGGTAGGAAAAAAAGTAAGTTTAGCATTACTTACTTCTGCAAGGAAATTTACTAATTACTGGTTACAAAAACGCTCTTTAAACTAACTTTAATGTTAATATTTATTTCTAAAAAATAGAAATAAAAGAAAATAAGGAATGGAAATTGCTATTGTTATCCCATCCAAAGGTTTTCTTATCTTCATCAGATAATTCTTGAAGAATCCGAGCAAAATTAGCTGGTTGCACATATTTCCCATGAGAACTGATATAAAATTTACAGAGCCAAATGTATTCAAATTAAAATAATACAGGGCAATTAATAACACAACATTACAAATATTTGAGAAAAAAAAATATTTTCCGAATTTTAAAACACGACCACGTGCGTGTCGTAAATTTTATGAAAAAGATGCCACGTAGCACAAAAGCCCAGTTAAAAAAAAAAAAAACTCAAATGACTTCCTGTTGGCGCATTCCATGATGTGGGGAAGGGTAGAAAGGAGGAATAGAAATGACCTTCAGACGTCTCAGCGATATGCGAAAAATTTGCATTCAGAACTGAATTTGTCGTAAATTTGGCGCATACGCGCGTGCTGGAAGGTTAAAGAGAAGGAAATCAATATATAAACTAGCCAAAATGTCTGGGAAGGCTTCAAATTAAAAAGACGCATAAATATTTTGTTGAGTGTTGTTGTTAAAAAGCATAAATGTTTTATAGCTTTTAATGTGTAATTATCCTTATATCGTTTAAAAAACAATGTCATAAATTACATGTATTTTAAACTGTGAAATTTTATTAGATTGTGATTTTAATAGGGTTTTTTAACAAATATTATTAAAAAATAAATATAATTTAATAGTGTCCATGTTAATCCATTATGACTTAGGTTATCTAACTACCTAATTTAATTATTTATAACTAACTGCTTACCCTTGAAAATTATCTCTGCATATTAAAGCCAGTTATTGCCTTTCATTCATCCTTACTATGGTCATAAGATAAAACACAAAAACGTAAAAATTAATGTAAAACTTATTCTTTGCATCTAGTGAGACTTAAAATAATACAAAACAACTGGGTTGGAATCCCTGGAACTTTACATGGAGCTATGACACTAACTGCATCAGACAGAGCCCGACCTAACTTTCAAAAACTTGCCAACCATGCCTACATCAGGCCCTTCAGGTGTGTTCTAATCAGCAGGTCTCTCTTTAGGCCAGCAGCAGCGGTGACAGCACCCAGTCTTTGGTTATGAATCGTGCTGATTATGATCTTATTTCTCATTTTAATCTATGCTGCTTGACATAAAATCTACCTGCTGTTTACTAAACCTGTTGACTGAGCAAGTAAGTGACAAAATGAGTTATTAAAAAAAATCAACATAAAGCTTATCGTTAGTAAAACACAAATAAAATGTCACTTATCTTCTTTCCAACCATTAAGTGTAAAATATTTAATGCTACTTGATACATTTTATGCAGTTGAGTTCATTCTCAAACATATTAATAATTTTGTTAATTCATGTTTAATAATAATTCATCCTACTTACTGATCTATTTTATTTTTAGGATGGTATTACAAATGTGAAGTTCAGGCATAGATAATATTTTTAATTGAATTTATTCTGTTCCCATTTGCTTATAGGCCCTTAATTTTTTTCATTAATGGTTTTTAAAAGTCCTTAAAAGTACTTAATTTCCATGTGCAGAAATGTGTACGAACCCTGCATATCATTTTTTCAAGAAAAGAGTCTTTAACGTGACAAATGAATATGCGAAAATGGCCACAATATGAAACTTTGTGTCAACGACGAAACATTTGGAGATGCAGTCTTAAAAATTGCAAAATGTCCTCCATGTTGGAAATTGTTTCAGCATTTCCAGAATATTGTTTGTCTTTGCTATTAGATTCACAGATTCTTGGCCAGAGGAGTTGATATCCATGAAATGGTGTAACAAACGGCTTAATATGTGTGAAAATGTTTTTTGCACGCAATAAAGTAATAATAGAAAGGATTCTTAAAAATATTCGTAGGAAACAGCATGTGAGTAATATTGTTGTTTATTTTTTCATGAGCTTGGCAAAATTATAGCTGATATCTTGGCACAAATCTAAAATCACCAAATGTGGTTGCAGGCCACTATAGCGAAGAAGTACTGAAATTTCTTTTCATTTTGCTTTGTAATTCAAATTTATTGCTTGCTAAATATTAAATTTTGAGGCTGACATTTGTTTAAAATAATTTTAAGGAATTTAATTAACCACTAAATAACTTTCTTTTAACTCAAAATCAACATATTTATCTTTCTTTTATTTATTTAATTTTTCTTTGACAAATACAGAAAAAATACATACATTTGTATGTAAATAATTATAAGCTTTTTTATTTCTTACTACACATTGCATGGCATTTTTTCGACTTCAATAGTTTTTAACCTCGAGGGAAAATTACAAGAAACTTTATCTTGAATTATAGATGCTTATCGATCGGCCTAATTTTTTTTTTTTCTTTTTAGACTTTTTAGTTTACTAATTTTCAACTGTTGAAAAGAAATTGTTCGCATAAAATACATATTCCCAAATGAAATGATTATTCTTATTGCAAAATTTATAACTGAGGGTATTTAACTTCTGACAAATGCGAGAATAGATTCATCAAATCTGTATCTTCAAATCTTTGAATAATATTTATATCTCAGTATAAATTCATTACCTCCATTTTTAGATTTTCTAATGTGTTACTTAGACTTGTTTTTAATAATAATGGAAATAATGTAAAATTGGACCCAAAATCTTTAAATTTTTGCTATAATAAATAATGTCATAGTAATGCTAATTAATTTATGGAAAACATATTAATAGGCTGCCAAGGTCTGTTTTCTTTGAAAGGAATATCTGTTGCTTTGATTAGAAAACATGGTTTTAGATTAGAAAACATAGTTTTAGTCTGTCAAATTGAAACTCTATTAATTCTTCCTTGGATTTCAATATTGAAATATTTATCCTTTCTTCCTCTTATGGGCTGTGGTCCAAGATATATGGGATAGGGTCCATGATAGATGGTCTGTAGTCAAGAATTGTTAATATCATTGTACCGGAATACATGACAACAGTTGGAAAGATGGTTATAAACAAGGACTGTTCTATTTCCATGGGTTGTAGTAGGTCTTTGCTTCATTAATTACTGTTATTATTTTCTGAAAGTTTTGAGAAAATCTAGACTGTTTGATATGAAAAGGATTTTTCTCATAATGCCGATAATTATTTCCTATGTATTTCCTTTCCTGCTATTTCCTAGGGTGGTTCTGAATGCAAGTTTTGCAGATAAGCAGCCTAAGTCTTTTGATGATTACGTAAGGATCTGCTAATACCACTTCTCTGATTCCAATGAGATTAATATTTATTTACATCTATTCATATTGAATATCACAAACAGAAGATCAACCATTGATCAATTGTTTTCACAATGTCTTAATGTTGCCGCTCCTCTTTTACTCAGTTGAATAAAAAAACTTGATGGCGACACAATAAATGGATGTGACTGAAGCAACGCTACATACCCTGTAGTAGAACACTGCTTTGAAATGTTGGATTGTACTGCACTGTCTGGGATATCTGGCTCTGTTTACTTTAGATTCATGTAATCAGTTTTTTTTTTTTTTTAATAAATCTTTCAAATATTATTGTAATTTACCAATGGCATAGCTAGGGTGGGGCAAGAGGGGACATTTGTTCCCGGGCGCAGCCAAGACCAACTAGATATAGTATGCTTGGTGCAGCATCCAAGCGGCGCCAAATTGATGCTACGAAATTTTTTAATGAAATGTTTTCCATTCTTGGCGCAATGAAAGAGGCGCAAATTCTTCATTTGCCCCCAGGCGCTAGAATCCTGTTTAAGTGTCACTGTACAAATTTCTATTTCTTTGAATGGGAATGAATGTCATTTGTATATAAACTGTGATGGGTCACAAACAAAATGATTTCCTGATTTTTTTTTTAAATGGGTAAATGTAATCTGAGCTGCCTTCTTATCTCTTATCAGATAGTAACTAACTATACTCATGCAATATGCTAAGAATTGCTTTCATAATTCATTTGAAATAATTAGATAAAGCTAATTAAAATTAAGTAAATTAAGAATGAAAAGTGTGATAAAATGTGGTAAATTTTAGTTTGTTTATGTTGTATTTCATATTTGTGCAAAGTTACTTGACTTTAAATGTAACTTTGTGCAGTACGAAATAGTTATAGGATGATTTTCCTCCTAATGTACATAATATATTTCTGTTTTTTATTATTATCTTATGTATTGTTATAATGATACTGATCTAAGTTATATTTCAAAAGCTTGGCCTCTTTAATATTCCAAATGTGGATTTAATGGATGACAGTGATGAGAGTGAAGTAGATGAAAGTGCCCTTGAATCTGAACTTGAAGCATTGCTTAGTGGTAAAGTGGTTTCTAAACCAAAAAGATCAAAACCAAAAGGTATTTAGCTATAAATTTCCTATCCAGAACATATGGAACTCACTTATCATAACTTTCATTTTAACATTTGTGTCTATTGCATTTTTTTACTTCTTAAAATTTATAATGTTTTATTATAAATTTCATTCATGATCTGTAGTATGTGAGATCATAATTGCTCTTTATTTCATAAATTACAGTTTCATATTTTTAATTTTATAATTTCTGCATGCCATCTTACCAGATTTAAACTGATGATCTATAATCTGGTAAAACTGATAATCCGGAATCGCCGAAGTCCCGACGAGTCCGGATTAAAGACTTTTGACTGTACTCATAATGTGAAGTTTAATAAATCATTTGTTTCACATCTTAACCAAAAGGAAAGGGAGGCATTATGCAAAATTTATTCAAATACTAACATCATAATTTCCTAAGCTGCTAAGGGCAGACAGATAGTTGTTGTGGAGAAATACACATACACACATGGAGTCTCAAAGCTGATACATGGCAGCCTATACTGCTTGATCCCTAAAGATCTGTCAATTTCTGATCTCACAAAGGTAAAAACAGCTGTTCAGTCTTCTCATATAATTCCAACTGAGTTTTAAAAAATCACTTATTCCACCTAATGCTAACTGCGCTTGGTTTAGTGGTCTTCCCAAAGTAAACAAAGTTAGAATTCAGTTTTGATTTTCCAACTTATGAATCACATCATATCCTTTAGCCAAATATTTAGTTTTCACATGTTCTCTTATACTTTCGAACAATATTAACATTAAAAAATTCTTTTGAAGTCATCCATGAACTATTTTTGTTGCTCTGCATTCCATTATGGTTTCTTTCAATGTTAAATCATGATTACTAATATTCCACTAGAGGGAGCTCTAAATTGTTTTGAAATTAAGTTTGAGAATTCCATTTCACGCGTACTGAAATTAAAAAGTTAATTTCCCTTTCTAAAATCTGTGGGTCAAAAAAAAAAAAACATTGTTTTTCAAGATGAATATTATCACCAAGTTGATGGATTAACTATGAGTAATACCTTCATTACTGGTACTTGTTTACATTTGCATGCGCTATTTGAAGGTCAAATTATTAGATAAACTATCTTTTTGTACGGATTCGCTTTCTAGATGACACATTCCCTCTTTTTGAGGCAAATAAAGAGGATTTATTCCAGATTTTATCTTATTATAAATTTGATTGATCCAGCCATCCAGTTCACTTCTGAAACTGAATCTGACAATACCCTATCCTTCCTTGATATTCTTATAGTTTACAATAAATCTGATTTTAGCACTATTGTTTACCATAAATCATATTCTGTTTGTTTCCCACCCCATGCTACATTAAGTCACTTAGCTAAGCAGAAAACAGCTTCTTTTTACTACAGACTCGTCAGGACTTCGGCGATTCTGGATTATAGATCATCAGTTTAAATCTAGTAAGATGGCATGCAGAAGTTATAAAATTAAAAATATGAAACCATAATTTATGAAATAAAGAACAATTATGATCTAAAGGGTATCAAAATTTACAAAAAAAAAAAAGCTTAATATTTATTTGTTTACTTTATTAAACATTTCTTTAAATGTGTGCATGTGTAAAGCATATACTACGCATAGTCGAAATTAGAAAATTGCAATGAGAAAACTATTTGATGTGTATTCGTGATATTTATAATGACGAGGAATTTGATTTAAATCATATCAAAGACGGAGTACATCAAGATGAAATGCTACATTTACTAAGGAATTATAAGAAGAATGAAATAAAAACATCTGCCCTGAAAGGATAGTGTTGACAGATCAACTTTCCGTTCATTGCGCGCTGCAACGCCCTCCCCCTGCAGAGCAGCGTGAAATTGATAAACAGATTTCGGAACGGTTAGAGAAACAAAGGATATGCTTTTATCAATTTTTTTCAGCAATTCCACTTTTTGTTTGATGGACATCGAAACATACTTTCTCTTTGTAGATCCTTTGGCAGCTCCAGCATTGGAAATTCTATTTGACATAATCGAAAGTTCAAGCTTACTTTTATAAAATTGGTCTAACAGTCTGCAAAAAATAATAAGCCGGATCCAATTCGAAGATTAAGGAACAACACAATCTGCAACATTAACTGAAATAGATAATTAGATACTTTTTAGCTTATACCGTCCGTTATACATTAAAGATGCATGCGTAAACGTATTATGCGCATGCGTAAAGGTATTACGCGCATGCGCAGAAAATTCGTAGCTTTGAGATCCAGATTATAGATCATTCCGGATTATGGGTGTCCGGATTAATGACTTTTGACTCTATTATGTATTTTGTGCTTTCAAAATTTGTTCGTCAGAATCTTTGCTTGCTAATGATCTCAATTATTTCAGATGAATTGCCATTGACTGAGTATTTTCTCCTGTGTTAATTGATAAAACCTTTAAAAAATTTCAGCTTATCATCAAAGAAGATATTCTGCTATTAGAAATAACATTAATAACCTTAACATGCTTCAATCTCATTCTTCTGTCAGTTTTAAAATTGCAAGAATTCTCCAGAAGCTCAATTTTCAAGTAATTTTTTCACCTATCAATAAAAATCCAAGATTCGATTCTTAAAGATTCCGCTTTCTGACTTTAAATCTCCGGAAGTTTATAGCATATCTTCTAAGTGTGGTTTGAGATATATCAGGCAAACTAAAAGAGCATTAAAATTTTGTATCAAGGAACACAAATCTTATCAAAAAAGGCAAAATTAACAAGTCTTTGATAGCTATTCAGCATTGGAAATTTAATCATAATTTTGACTTTGGGTCTGCAAAAATTATTCAAGAAGCTTCTTTAACTGGCAAATTGAATTTTCTTGAAAATTTTCTCATTCATAAAGATTTATCTATTTTGTTAAGGAATTTAAGTCCAAACTAGTCCTTCTTAATGCTTTTAAAATTTCATTAACGTAATTTTTCAATTTCTTTACTATTTTTACTGACAGATTGTGATACCTTCTTGTTCTCTTTACTGTTGTAGGGTATAAATACGACTGTTACACCTGCTGCTATCCAGTGTTGAAGATTTTTTTGCTCCTGATGATGAGGGACATGTACCTGATTGCCCTCAAAATCTTGACTAATCTATGATTCTTGAGATCTTGACTAAATCTATGTCAAACACAAGATTGGTACTTTGCTAATTTTGTGTAAAGTTATTTTATTAATAATTTAGTCAAAAGGAGTCCATTGAAGAAACTCTTTGCATATAATTGGTTATTTTGTTTTTATAACGACAGTAATAAGCTTAAAATTTGACTACAGTCAGGCCTGCATTTGTATGCGAATCACAACAGACACATGTATAAGTATGCATGGAATTGCGGAACTTTACTGAAGACCATTATGAGTTCTATGAGGTTATCCTTAAGAACACATTAATCAGTGCTGTAATATATCTACAAAAAATCAGTCTGCAGAAACTCTGCTGTCTTACCTTCACTCTAAGACCTGGCTCAATTCCATTAGAAAGCTTCTACATCAGTATGAAACCCATGTGAACTTGAATGAAGAAAAACACCCTGCTTTAGATATCCTACTTGCTGCTGATTTGTTGGATTCACATTGCATTATTATTTAAAAACTGATTCTGCTGCACACCAGCATTGTTGATAAACTATACTGATAAGAGCTGTAGCATCATTTTATGAGCAAATTTTTGAGATTTGCCTGTGGCAGAGTTTTTATTCTTTTAAGACTTCATGCAGTTTGAATGACCCCGAACAAGTTTATAGATCTATACTGGGAAAATCTTTTTGTGCTGCATAATTCAGGTCTTCCCTGAACAAATTGTCTCATATTTTTTTTCCCCCCCAGGGGCATTTCACCTGCAGTTTTGAGAGCCTTTTATCCTACTATTTTTTTACTTATTTATTTACTATTTTTTAAAATTAAATAAGGATTTGTTTGCCCTTTGGAAACAAAAAATACTTACACAAAATAAATATTCATGATATCCTCTTAAGTAGCCAGAACTTTCTCAACAATCTAATATTTATTTCAGAAAATTAAAATTTAAAAATTTTTATGCAGATTTATAGTTTTGCATTTGCTTATCCATGTTAAGGTGGATTAGGTCATTGGTGGTACTTATACCATGACCATTTAAAAAAAAATTTAGAACTATTTAAAAAATTGCTGTCTTCTCACTAATGATAAATCATGTTTTAATAATTTTTAATTTGGAAGGATATTTATAGTGGGATTTTTTTTAAAACTTTATATGCAAGTTGCAATAAAGCAAAGCAATTTATAAGCAATATATGCAAGTAGAGATATGTTTTAGAAAATTTGCAAAAATATTTGCAGAGGAAAAAAATTGTTGTATCTTCTGCAATGCATTTTAATTGTAAATTTTTTTAAAACTATAAAAAGCGAAAATATTTCAAAAAATTATTAATTTTGTTTTGTAAATGTAAACAGCTTTACCAAACGTATATCTGGTTGGGGTAGTAACATCTAATAAACTAAATACAGAACAAGTCCAACAATTCCAGATTTTGTAAATTTCCATATTTTAGGTCATCAGTTTAAATTTAATAAGATGACATGCAGACATAGTAACATTGAGGCTTTACTTATTGTTTGACCTAAACAATAATACTTAATCCTCAATAGTGTTAACACTAAAACTGATGTGACTGTACCAGGTGTGAAAGAATTTTAGAATTGCAAGGAGCACTAAGCAGCAAAAATTAAGGAAAGGCAAAATTTTTAGAATTTAGGAGAAGCACTAGACAGTAGAATTTACGGGTGGCAAACAATAATACTTAATCCTCAATAGTGTTAACACTAAAACTGATGTGACTGCACCAGGTGTGAAAGAATTTTAGAATTGCAAGGAGCACTAAGCAGCAAAAATTAAGGAAAGGCAAAATTTTTAGAATTTAGGAGAAGCACTAGACAGTAGAATTTACGGGTGGCAAAATTTTTGGAATTTAGGCAAGTGTGGGGCAGTAAAATTTAGGACCTGTAGAGGTCACTCCTAAAGCCCTACTTCCTCCACAACCATTCTAAGGCCAGAAATATGATCCTGGCCAACACCATTTTATTGTTATTGGCTATGGTTTGACTCCCTAGTGAGCAGTGTTTGAAAGTGATATGCAGGAATTTCAGTTAGTATGGAGAAAAATTTCGTTTACGGCACATCTGCTTCCTTTTGTTCAGTAGTATATTCTCCTTTTCTATATTTTATAAGAGGAGGGGATTTTTTTTATTATTATTTTATTTATTATTATTATTTGGTGAATAGTCTGGAGGCTCAGATCTTAAATTATTCCAGATATTGGGCTTGCGGATTTTGGAGTTATACATTTTTCAAAACTTAGTTTGGTAAAAGTATTTTATGAGGTGCAACAAACTTATATTTTCATTATATCTGCTGTCCAAAACTCAATAGTGAGAGTGAATTTTTAAAAATTTTTATATGTTCAGGATAGATGGCAGCACTTTACATCAAATTGCCAAAAGTAAATATTAAAAAAAAAAGTCTTGCAGATCCCAGTTGTTAAATTAGCACAACTGCCAATTCTCCCAATTTTATCAGGACACTTCCAGTTTTACATTGTATTTCCCAGTTTTCCAATATATCACCAAATTTCTCAGTTTCTAAATTTTTGCCCTTACTGATGAAAGTGTTTTTGAGCAATAAATAAAATTTTTTGAAGTATTGAAACTTAGATTGTTCAAATTTCATTCCTCCATCCCTAGTGATCTTGAGCATAATTTTGCTTATTAAAATTTATTTACTGAATTGTCTTAATCTACCATAGACATCTGTAGAACAGTATTTAAAGATTCAGCCAATGTTTAATCAGTAAATATTTATATTTAATTTTGTTTTACATTACTAAGTTTATTCACACAATAATATGTATATGAATTATTAATTTTATTTCCATTACTTTTTAAAGTACTTTAATAAATTGAAGCATTCTTTGTTTATTCAGAATTTTCTCAGTATAAAAGTGTAAGAAAATTGCTAAAATTAGGCAAAGAACATAAACTTTAGACTATTTAATCAAATATTAATGTATTGTTTTATCAGACTCATAGTATAAATAGTTTAATAACCTGAATCATGCATATGAAGCAAATTTAAATGAATTTAAGACTTCATTTGAAATAATGACACTGCAAAATGCAAAGTCTCTTGGAAACTCCTGGTTTTGGGCTCAAGCACCTCCGTTTAGTCATATTTTGAGATTGGCAGTTATGTTGTATCTCATTTATTAAAATCATGCATTTAGACTGTGCAGCTTTGGATTGTGAACACTACATGCTTTTTAAATCTACTCTATGTATAATTTTGTGTTTGTTAAAATTAATTAACCCTTAACTAACTGTTTATTCTTCAATCTCTGTGGAAAAAATTATCCAGTTTTTTCACTATGTACTTTTAATTAGTGCAACAAGACGTAAAAGATTTTACAAAAATTTTTCCTAAATTTTCATATTTTTAAATATTTTTATGACCCAGAATAAATGGTAAATAATTATCCCAAAATAACTCGTTAGTGTATTTTTGTTAAGAATGGAAACATATATTAATTTTGAAATAATTTGGAATTTTAATAATTATAAATTGAATCTGTATAATGAAACTTTTGAAAAGAAATAAGGTATGAAAAATACACAAAAAGTTTTGTTCAGATTAGAGATAGTGTGGTAGACCTTGAATCATGGCAATGCACATAAATGTACATTATAATTTGGGCTAAAATAGCAGGTTTCTGGGAGATATTTAGACTAAAAGAATGAATTTACAAGCTCTAATTCACATATTTCCTGTGAAATTGAAAACAGGCAGAATTACTAACCTAATCCACTTGATAGAGGTAAAATTAGCTTCGTATGCTGGTGGATAGGTATCCAGATGCTGAGTTGAAAGAGACATGGCATAAAACTTGCATAATCTCAGAACAAAACAATCGTGAAAAGGTCACCAGCATAGCCACAAAACACACTGTGAGTTTATTTGGAATAAATAAATAAAAGTCTGTCTTGAACCATGAATCATAAGTTAACTCATGATAATTATTATTTTTGATGACCAAGCTAACTCAGAATAACCAGGCAATTGCTTGATAATGAAACAATAAAATATTGAATATAAATGGTAACTATAGTTAAAACAGGGAGGGGGAGATCCCATGAGTTTAGAAAAGGACTAAAGTTGAATATAGAATTTCATTTATGACAAAACATATAGAAATTTGAAGATGAAAAGAACTTTAGCATAGTGTTTTTCAAGTATGCTTAATATTTTCTTGGAGTAATCTTCAGTCCATAGATGAATTTTAGATTTGTAAATTTTAGATAATAAAGATGCAGCATGATAAATATTAGAACTTGGCTTTCATTGCATTTCAAGTCCTTTGTACACTGTGTGACATTAACAACTTATAATTTTATTATTTCTTATCTTGCTTTTTTCCTAATTTTATTTTTTATGCATATATCATAGTTCAAATAGTTTAGGAATAAAGTACTTTAAATTATTGCTGAAATTAACTCCCGAAATTAAAATAGTATTTCTGTGATCTTGCAACTTTCTTATAATTTTAAAAGTTTGTAATTAAACTTGGAGTCTTATAAACTGTATGAGTGAAGTTCCTGCTAGATTTTTTTTTTTTTTTTTTTACTTTTCCATTATGGAATAGCATGCACCAGATGCTTTTCTTTAGGGCACCAAATTGCACCAACTTGAACTGGCAGTAAAAAAACACACTTTTTCTCATTAGCTAATTTTGACTGTGGTAAAATTTTTCTTAACATAAGAAGTCTGTTTTTCAGGTTGATTATTTCAGTAAATGAAGGACAAAATAGAATGATACGTTTTTTGATAGACAGTACTTACTTTGAAAATATTAATGCTGTTATAAAGACAACATATTTGATTTAATGGTGATCAATATGAAGTGTTGTCACATATATCTCTCTATAGCAAATAGTTTAGTACATGTTCTACAACAGACAAGATGGATTTTTTTTTTCATATGCATTAGTTGTGATAGATTTATTAAAAAAACTGTGTTCATTTGTGTCTTTCAGCCGAGCCTACTGTGGACATAGAAAAAATTGCTGAAAGTTTGCTTCATGATGATGATGGTGAGGAGGAAGATGAATCCAATTTATCTGCTGATGAAGATCTTTTGGTATGTTTATGATCTGATTCACATTAAATTATCTGAAATGCTCGGAACTGCATTCTTTGTAACCCAGTGTCCAGTCAGTCAAGTAATTTTTATACTTTCAATTGTAATTGTATTAGAATGTATCATAGTTTTCTCAGTAAGTCTGATTTCTTATTTATGCTGAGAAAAAGGAGTAGCTATTGCCAACCGTAGAACATTTATGTAGCTGCACACTTCCAGGAATTTTTGTATTTACATAATATTAGTTATTAAATAACATTAGTGTGCAGAAACATTGATGATACATACAAATGAGAGGAAAAAATGTTAGGACCATTCATATTTAAATAAGTTCAATATGAATGAAATTAAAAGTGTGCATCAAAGATCATAGATAAGTTATTAAAATTAATAGTAAGTGCTTATTATTCATAGTTAAGGTTAGTGTTAGAAGGATGAAATTACTAGTATAAGAAGATTATGCCAGATCATTTCACATACAGCCAAAGCGATCTTCTTTGATTTTTTTTGAGGGGGGAGGGAGAGAAAAACTTACAAATAATTTTAAATATAATAATGCAAGAAATTTCATGACCGAAAATGCATGTAATCCTGCTATGTATGGATTTGCATTATTGCTGGTCAGTTAAAGTGTGCATGCTAATCTCTCTGCGACAAATTTAATTGCATTTAATTGTGAATCAGTGCATTTAATTGGCTTATCCGTATTTGACTTCATATCAATAACAGAAGTTTTCTAGTGCTGGAACATCTTTGGAAGTCTACTGGAGAGGTGGTATCTTAAAGCTGTAGGCAAATAAATGTGATGGGAAAAAAGTAATGGTTTAGTCCTGTTCTCTTGGAAAGCCTTAAATCTAGTCATTTATGATAACCATAGTGTGAAATAATCACCTTTAATACCGTAATTTCGGGTAGATAAGCCACCTTGGCGTATACACCACACACATGATAATTGACTGAAAAAAATTAAAGTTCATCGGATAAGCCTCCCTGCTGTATACCCTGCAGCAAAGCATTTCGAAACATGGCACTTAATATTCATTTATTCAGAAATCCCCTGCCGTATTAATGTAAATCATCACCAGTAACATTTTATAACATTTACAACATAAATATAAACAGTAATATATAAATAAGGCAAAAACATCTTACCTTGAACTTGTCGAAAACGAATTCTGCTGATTTCTAATAGATATTTTTTATATGGGTTCGGTAAACTTCGTTTATCACCATAAATTACTGTATTATGAGAAAGAATACATAAATTAGATAAACAAAGAGAATTTTCTAATTAAACTACATTTATTTATACAAAACTTTCAAAATCCAATTCAATAATGTCATATTTAAATAAATTTAATGAATGACCATCAAGGTCAATTTCATCATTCTGTTCTAAATCACTTCTTTTAATGTCACTTATCTTCACTTTCATTTTCTTTTTCAATGGTTTCCAATTTAATGAAAGCTGATATGATCGTATCAGCTCGGACTTATTGCCCTGCTTATCGACCCATAAGGCAACTTCATCATACGAAGCTTTTCTCATTCATCTGGAATTTGTGAAGGAATGGAGTATGCTTTGCATCCATTCCTCCCACTGCTTTCATAGTTCATGCTTGAAAATTCTATTGATAGTGAGATTCAGTGTCTGTAAAATTTTTGTAAGCCCACTTGGTATCACTGAGACATCGGTGCTAAGTTTTTTGCTTGAGATCTTACCGTATCTGCTAAATGGAATCACATTGAATCCAGAACAATGAGTCCTAAGGGTTGGAAAAAAACCACCTTTCCTTTTTCGATAAATTTCTGTCAGCCAAAACATCACTTCTTCATACATCCATCCTTTTCCGTTGGCATAAATAATAACTCCCTTAGGGAAGTTTCCTTTCAGATTTGTTTTTCTTTTGAAAATTATCAAAGGGATTAACTTTTTTCCATTGGCGGCACAACCCAAAACACAAAGAAGTCTTTTCACTTCCTGAAATAGTTTTTTCACGTATTGAATGAACAGTTCTGCTCGGAAGACAGTCAAAAGTAATGGGCACTTCATCCATATTAATTATTCAAATTTTGTTCTTTAATTTTCTTAGATGTGTATTCCAAAAAAGCTATATTTTTTTCCAAGCCAGTCCACGGGAAGCTTTTGTCCAACTGTTGTTTTGGTCCTGACAGATAATTTCTTTCACTTCATAAAGCTGAAACACCAATAAGGTCCCCCAACAAAATTTTTAATGCCCATTTGTCGAGCAATTACCTTTGCTTGAAGGCGGATGTTGATACTGGTAATCTATTTTCTCTCCATCTAAATTACCTTCCAAAACAGGCCAGGCTATAATACCAGTTCGACAAGATGTTTTATTCATAGGAATTTTTTCTAATTCTTCTTGTTCGGACTTCCACCCCTGAATGCATCTCTCATCAACTTTGAAATTCTTTAGCCGCAAAACGATTTCCAATTTCAATCGCTTTCTTCACTGCCGAAAGCTTAAAAGCAGCTTGTAAAACTTTTTCTTCGAGTAGAAGCATAATGGTAATAATATTTTTAGAGCACAGATGATAAGGCAAACAAAAAGCAAGCTACAAAGTAGTAAAAACGTTTAAGAATGAATGTAGTACTTGGCAAGTAAACATAGCTGTTTCCATTAACACAAAAGGTCATAGGAAAACGTGGGAAAAACCATGGAGTTTGGGATAAAATACATGCATTACTGTATCTTTACAGAGAGCCTCGCCTACCTTAGTTATGAAATTTGAACATATTGCACTGCCGTAGTGCAATCTGAGGTTAGAATATTGCAGCGAATTCTTACCATTTTGCTTGTGCATTGCTTACAATCTGAACTAGTGAAGTTTTAAGGACAGAGGAAAAATAAAGTTCTCTCAGATATGCCCCAGACCTAAGTTGTCAACTTTTAAACATGTATAAGCCGCAGCTTATCTACCTGAAATTACGGTAGTTTGCAATGAGGTTCATTCTTTCGTAGTTGTATTTTTAAGAGGTAATCTAATGGAATTTAACATACCTTGCTAAAAAAGAATTATTTTAACATACTAATACTACCTGCAGTATTAGATTAATTATTGTGGATGATTTGAGAAAGAGTAAAAGCTATCATGAATATATTATGATATTTTGCTATATTCTCAAATGTCCAGATGTTATAAAATCAACTCTTCGAATTGTAAAAATTAAAATATAAACATTTATTTGCAGCTACATAAAGAGGTTTAACATCAGAAAAGCAAGTTCTAATGAAATGGCTAGCAGCATTTGAGTTAAATATCTATTGCCAGAGAAGGCTTAGAAATAGCATTTCTAACATACTCCGACCTTTGTAAAGTGGGAGCTTTATAAACTTTAAACAAAATAAAATGTCTAAAAGTTAAAAGTCTTAAAGATCAAGTTTCTGTTTCAGCCGAGCAACTGTCCCGGAACGTGTTTGTTCAAGATGTTTCTCCAATTCAGCTTCAGAAAGCTTTCTCTTTTCAAAATATTGAAATTGTTGGATTAAAGGTTCCCTTTCTTCGATAGATACCTTGGCTCTGGCTATTAATTTCTATTGGATACCATCTTTGTGTATTTCTTAACCCATTCAGTGCGGCTCCCGAGTTAACTCGGGCTGAGAAATTGCCACCAGTGTGCTGCTCCTGAGTGAACTCGTTTTTTCGCGGGGAACGTTTTCCTTTCTGATTGCCTGTTTTACCAATTTGTGTTTTTACACTTATTGTTTTTTTTTTAAGCAACCAATCATGAAGCAGCATTTATTCAACCCTGTAGCCTGACTTTCAAGCAATAAATATGTATTTCCGTTTCCTGTTTCTTGTGGAAAGAAATTTTTTATCAAGGCGTGCAGAACCCCAGCAAACTAGAAAGGCGGAGTGCAAAAAAAAAAAAAAAAAAAAAAAAAAAAAAAAAAAAAAAAAAAAAGTGATACCGGCAGCTGATGCAGTTGAGTTTTTATTCAATATTGGGTCAGAAAATGATTATAGTTGTGGTTCTAGTGCCACAATATGTAGAATCGACCGTTGAAAGTGCTTGAGAAGGTTTGGACAATGGTAGTACTTTGACTAAACCTTCGTGTAGCAGTCATTTACATAGTGGAAAATGATCTTCACATTTCCCATAATGTACACAGCGTTCATGGCTGTAGTGACACTGGATCAATAGTGGCACTAACATGTGGAATTCAACAGTACAACAAACAGTTGTAGATGCGTTTTCTGGTGAAGGTGGTGTGCAGTTCAGTTTTGATGTATCAGTGTATCAGTTATCCCTGTTGACTGTTTTACTGCTTTCATTACTGAAAGCATGGTTGAGAAAATAGTCGAGGAAACAAATTGTTATGCTAGTGTAATCGTCAGCTCAGGAATGTTATATATGTAACTGTAAATGTATCTATTATTATCTTTAATCATAACTGTAATATAAAATAGTAGATGAGCAAATGTAGTATAAACGATGTTTGTGTACATCTTGTAATCATCACTGAGTACATACCCAACATATATAAAACACAACACATGGCGCAGCCCACGGTAGATTAAAAAAAAAAAAAAAACTTTTTTGAAGAACCATGCAGCATTGGTAAAGATATTCTAAACAGAAACATGATGGAAAGTTGTTTACTGTGAAATCGAAACTTATATCGATGGTAAGTGCGTTGTTTATTTTTACTTGAAGTGGCTAAAAATACATATATATAAACTATTTAAAGTCCTAAATTAAATATGGATGGATTAAAGCCACCAAGTAATTTAAGTTTTGAAGGTAATTAAGCGAAAATTGGAAGAAATGGAAACAAAAATTCCAAATTTATATGTTAGCATCTGATGGTATTACTAAATCACCTGAAATTAAAGTAGCTATTTTATTGCACATTATTCGTGAAGAAGCACTTGAAAAATTTAATACTTGAAAAATTTAATAATTTATGGGAAGAAATTAAGAAGGATGTTGACAAAGTAATTGAAGCTTTCGAATATTTTTGCATACCGAA